TCCAAGTTTTATTTAAAACAATTAAAGGCATGCAGAATGTATACATATATATTCAAAAACATATATTAAAAGAAAGATAAAGGTAAACAAATAACCTTTTCCCATTGCCAAAGATGCATAAACATATCCCTATTGTAATTTGTGATGCACTGGAACATACAAATTATAAAAATTAACAACACAGCCTTTTAAAACAGACTATTTTAGTTCAATAAATAAAAGTCAAATTTTTTTTTTGAAAATATGGAAATAAATGCCTTTGCAAGCCATACCTTTCCTCAACTGAAACCTCCTTCAGCTGCTGGTGTGGTTTTGTGCCTTCCATTTCTCGGATGCTTACTGCATAGATCTTTGTTGTATAATCAATAGCCTTTTCTCTTGCAACATCACTGTCATAACCTTAAAAAATGTAAAAGATAAAAAGACACCTTGTGTAGTTTGTTTTCAGATTTGTATTGAAGAGATAAGAAATAAAAAAGATCTGCAACAACAGTAGTAGTCTAAGGTCCTGAGCCTACAACGATTTACACATAGTTAACTTTAAGCAAATAAAGTCTAGTAGCACCTTAAAAATTAACAAACATGTAGATGGTATCATGAGCTTTTGTGGGTAAAACCCACTTCTTCAGATGACCGGAGTATAATAAGTACAGATCCAAGAATAAATAAGGAAAGAAGGGAGGGGGTGAGGGAGTTTTTCCTGCTACAGACTAACTCAGCTACCCCATGAAGCTTTAAAGCAAATAGTTAACTTCAAGCACCTGAGGAGTCCCACTGAACTCAATAGGATTCCTCACATGCTTAAAGTAAAATATGTGTGTGAATCTTTGTGAGATCAGGGCTAAATTTAATATAGATTTTTCATAAACCCCTTTTACCTCCATCTTCTTCCACATCTGTATCTGATTCCTCACTGTCAACCAGTTTACTCTCTTGGATGCTCACAAACTCTCTGGTCCAGATCATCAAAGCAGTATCAGCACCACCTACAGTCAGTAGCACAGAATCATTATGTAACCATCGAACATTGGTTACATGGGCACTATGACCCACATACTTCTTGAACTTTGCACGTTGCCCCTGAAATATGAAGAACATGTTATCATTTAAACTATTCATTGTCCATATTTTCCTACAGAAATTTTCCCCACTTCCCTTTCCAACATGGCTTCTAATTTGATGAATAAATACTATTTATTACCTTTACTGGATATGAGAAAAGCTTCACAAAACCAAAATCATCTCCTGTAGCTAGCAGTGAACCATCTTTTGTAAGAGTAGCTGCATTTACAACAGTGACATCGCTATGCATGGGCCAGATTCCTTCACAAGTAGGACCAAGAACACATGTCCAGGTATCCCACTCAATCTTCTCTATCTGGAAACAAACATTTCCAAAACAAAGTAAACTTGACATATGTCTATTGTACTGCTTTTCTCTTGAACTGTGATACTAACAAACTAGTTTTGACAGATGATCTTGCCTTTAGGTTTGACCAAAATAATATTTCGGTTTTCGTTCTGTTAGCTTACAGTATTTTTCTTTCCAGATGATTAATGCTAAATATAATTTATCTCATTTATTAAAACTTGAATACTAACAGTTCCAGTTCCTGGAACTTTACTTTTTTTGCTATACATTTTTTATTCTCCAGGGAGAAGTCTTTGATTATTATCATTTGGATTTAAACCGCTTAGAGATTTTCAGAGGTAATGAATATTGGCAATTCTCATTAAAATCATACAAAATTGCAGATGCTCGGCATCCTAAAATCAGGCCTCACATTTTTAAAAGTAGCATCCACTTAAGTTGCCTGCACAAAGATTAAATACAAAAAAGTGATTATTAATGCAAAACGATAATGTGGAATCACTTGTCTGTAACTCGCAAATATGTTTTTGCACGTAGAACCTTCTTCTAAAATAACAAATGGATGCATCTGCAGATACTATAGGTGATGGAAAAGTTTGTGTTGTCTTTTCTGCACTCACATAATTTCATTCTAAGATTTATTGTGAGAATTTTAGTAAATCTGCACTTTTTAATTTACTTTTCAACTTATTTCAATGGGAAAGAAAAGTTAGTTCAATGCCAAGAACTTTTGAAAATCTCACCCACAATATTTGATCAAATCTGAATTAAATGCTTATCTGAAATGGTTCTAATTTTGAAATACTAATGTTTGTTAAGTGTTTAGAATAATGTAGCTGCTATGAAAGATATGATACTGAGTGATTAAGCAGTTATAATTTTACCTATTATCAGGATTAACTTTTGTGTATTTAACATCTGTATGTGATAATACATACAAAGGCCAACTTCACAAGGCTGTTTTTAATGTCTGTGAAGCACTCTGTAAACTTAAAAGTGAGGTAGCAGAGGGAAGGAATATGAAAAAGACATACCATTTAAATATGTAGTACACTAATTTCCAGCACTGTTATATAAACACTCACAGTATAAAACCTTCAGGTTAGGACTGAGTGATGTATTCAGAAAATGTAATTAGAATGATCCATACCTCAGTAGCTCGTATAATATGTCTTTTTCCTCTTGGTGCTTCAAAAAACAGCTGTTCTTTGGCACCAGAATTGACTTGCAATAGCTTTCCTATATGTGAAATACAAGTTTATTATTTATTTTTCTATGAGTAGCAATATTATGAATTTTTTTTTTACTGAATGATGAGGTGTTATTAAAAACTTGAATGCACATCCTGCATAGGTATTTGTGATAAAATGATGAGAAATATCTACAGAGCATTAACATAAATACAGTCTGAATCTGTTTCTAAAAACTGTTGTCCAGGTGCTACTCACTAAGGGTATGTCTACACTACAAAGTTAATTCGAACTAACGGACGTTAGTTCGAATTAACTTTGATAGGCGCTACACAAGCGCTCCGCTAGTTCGAATTTAATTCCAACTAACGGAGCACTTAGTTCGAACTAGGTAATCCTCATTCCACGAGGATTAAGCCTAGTTCGAACTATCTAGTTCGAATTAAAGGGTGTGTAGCCCCTTAATTCGAACTAGTGGGAGGCTAGCCCTCCCCAGGTTTCCCTGGTGGCCACTCTGGCCAACACCAGGGAAACTCGTCTGCCCCCCTCCCAGCCCCGGACCCCTTAAAGGGGCATGGGCTGGCTACGGTGCCCGTGCCAGGTGCAAGCCTGCCAGCACCTAGCCATCAGACCCTGCACCTGGCACGGATCGAGCCACCCACCCGATGCCCCCCAGCCCTCCCCCTCTTCCCGGGACCAGGCTGGCAGCTCCCGGGAGCTTGCCCGGGACCGCAAGAGGCGGGCACCCGCCAGAGCTAGTGCAGACATCGTGGACCTCGTCCACGATCTCT